TCTGTAATTACGGAATGTTGTGTAGTGTTCTAATTTATGTGATTTTTATGTTCATTTATGCGTGTCTTCAAACATTTACCTGTTTAGCCTATATTTTTGGAAAGTTACATTGACATATTTTACACACTTGTACTTAGCTTTTTACAGTGTCGAGCAGTGTAACTATGTGTTATAGTTGGAACACTTTGTGTAAGACAGTGTTACACTGTGTCACCTGTGTACGTTGTTAGAAAACACCCATAATTAGAGAAATATAATTTTTTTTGCTATTATTTATTAGTTAGAAATATTATATATTTATTATTTAAACGGAACTTTAAATAATCTGTAAATAGTTGGTAATTATGCAGTATAAGGGACCATCCTCCAATGACCTTGACCTTGACATATGTTGTCAAGGTCATGACCCGGAGTGACCTTGAACAAATTTTAGCCGTCGCTCGTTCATTAAAAAGTTATTAACAAAAAAAGTTCTTCAATAAAACCTAACTTTTGGACATGACTGCGCTCCGATGAGACAAATTCCCTGCTTTAACACCGCAAAATATTTTCTAATATAATTTTTGTGTCTTTAGAGCAAGAGAATTTGTATTTTTGAAGCAGAGAATTTGTATTTTTAAAAGTATAGAATTTGCGTTTTAAAGGAAAAAAATGTAGTTTTAAAGCAAATAATTTGTGTTTGTAAAGCAGGAAATATTTTATTATGTATAATGTACACCTTTTCCATTCTTTTTATATGGACAGAAGTTTAACATTTCGTGAAAATAAACACTATAACTGTAAACACGATTACGTCGTTGTCGCCCAAATTCCTATAACGATCGAAATATATGTTACAAATAATTTCATTTATTTTTTGAAATTTATAAACTTATCTTATGATTTAAATAAACAAATCTATCCTGAATTTCACGTTTTCGATTGTTAGTGTATGTTCTTTTCAATGTGAAAGATAAAATATCATGCAAAAATTCCTCAGATAGCATTTACATAGGCGAAATTAACCAGTATCATCCGTTTATGATCGGTTAAATTGTATTTTAAATATTTTAAAAATACAAATTCTCTGTTTTAAAAATACAAATTCTCTGTTTTAAAAATACAAATTCTCTGGCTCTAAAGGTACAAAAATTATATAAGAAAATATTTTTGGGCTGTTAAAGCAATGAATTTGTCTCATCGGAGCGTAGTCATGTTCAAAAGGTTTTACTGAAAAACTTTTTTTGTTAATAACTTTTTAACAGACAACGAGCGGCTAAAATTTATTCAAGGTCACTCGGGGTCATGACCTTGACAACATATGTCAAGGTCAAGGTCATTGAAGGATGGTCCCTTATACTGCATAATTTAATAATTTAATATAAATGATCTTATTTTGTTTACGATCAACATAATCATATTTTATTACATAGATAAACTTTTAACAGTATATTCACACATTATTTTCTATAACATGTTTATGATTACAACTTGCGCTACAAGGACCATATGAGGTTCACTTTTCATAGCAATCACAACAATTATCTATAGCAGAAATCTCATGACAGACTATAAAACGCGAGAATGAGATAAATTGTACATGACTTTCCGGAAAAAAGAGCTTTACTGTCAACTACCAGCTTAATACTGGACATAAAATTGATTTATCATCAGTTTTAGTTATGTAAGTATTACATCATATTAAAAAATAAATCACTATTTTATATCTTATATTAATAGTACTTAAACTATGATAAAATATAATTTATTATAATAAACCAAGCACATAATAAAATAAATCTAATTCCAATCAATAGATATCTTCCACCAATACATATCTAAGTTAAACATAGATATCATATTAATGCAGTTATCTCTTAAAAAAATATATTATCAAATTATTTTTCGCGTACTTAAATATGCTATGTTCACAACTTGAGGAAGCATTATTTGAAGTATAGCAATCCTCATGCTAAATGTAACTTATTACTAAATTTTTTTTTAAATATCTATCATAAAATATATGTACAAATATTACCTGTATCCAGTTGAATCGCTGGATAATGAAGCCGATTGGTGTCTGGCCAAAGTTATCCAATATTTCATGTATAGGAAAATTCGTATATTTTCTGATAAATGTAATATGTATCGCTTTATTCAGTTTCTTCCTTATACCCTCTGTCATGTATATGTATGATACTTTAAATATATACGTATGCTTTGTGGGGTACGAGTTTTTGTATAATGGTTATCATAAACTATTCTTCGCTAATCGTCCGCGAGAACGACATCCACAGTGATATTAAACATATCGAAAAAGACTGGATGAATACTCGATATTACAAGGATTGGATTATAAAAAAACGCAAAGTTCGGTAGGCACCTGGCGACGATCTGCGCTTTCTTCATGTACAGCGGTGGTATTTTTTATTATCTCATTCTGCCGTTGAGTGCTGGCAAGATTACGGATGAAAACTCGATATATCAGTTATTAATAAATCCGATTTATTAATCCGAGTTATTAATAAATCCAAGGTGATTGTCGACGCATGATGTAGTCCCATCAATGAAATTTTTCTTTTGAATGCAGTTTCTATCGGGTTTCCTCGCGCACTTCACTTTTGACAGTGCAAGAAACTTAGCTGCCATATTCGCGATGCATGCCTGTGGTCATCTGGAAGTCTTAATACAGGATCAAACACTTGATGGACGGACGGGAAGATATATGACAACGTGGATGAAAGATTGGCAATGATCGTGCAACGACACGTTCGAATTTTACGGTGAGTTATTTTTTACTAGCATCGCCAATGTTTCTTGTATCCAACATATATATATGTCTATATATGTGCTTAAATTTATTTTTAATTGTTTAAGAGTACTTAACAAAATCATACTTTTTCTGTGAAATATTTTTATGCGATAATGTTACCTTTCAATTTTATATCGTTAATGGAAAAAATACTGCGTGAAATATCTACGGTGAAAATTATATTAAACATGTATATTGAACATGTGTCTTCTTGGATGTTTTTCTATCACGATATGCATATCGTATAAAAAGTATGTACATACTTCACCAAGTGTATTGCAATTTCGAAGCAATATTAGAAATCAATGGCAATTGTTTACTCGTTCTCGAATAGATCTTCAAATTACAAGAATTGGAGACTAGACAGCCTACGAACTTTATAATATTTATTGTTCTGCATACATCTATTACGTTTACTATTTTTATATTCTGCTACTATTTTTATATGCTGCTACATTAGCGAGTTTGTAACAGAAAAGATAAAAAACTCATCCGCAATTGTGATAAATATAATGTCTTATCCCGGATTTACAATAGAGTTCTAGGCCTTAAGCCATAAGAAATGGACAAATCATAGTCGATTATATCCTCCTCGAATTCGATTGTAATTGGTCAATTTCTTACGACTTAAGGCTTAAAACACCTATTGTAGATCCGGGATTATGTACTTTGTATGCATGGTATATTCACAGGATATAGTTCATAGTATATTTTCACAATATATTTTTACAGTGGCAAAAATATTCTAAATTTAATAATAAATTTACAAAATTTAGAATTCATTGTAGAAAGTAGCTCCTAGTATCGTAAGTTTAGTTATGTTTCAAATAAAAGAAATGAGAAAAGCAATCCTGTAAACAATGCAAAAAAGTCGGTGAAGTATTGTATATGATCGATTGGCATCGTCTGAAAGAAAGGATCTTGCACCCCTGTGGATAATTACTGTATCCGTAATAAATATTTGGTCTATCTTTCAATAGTATTTTGAATAAAGCTTTATATAAAATATGTATAAAATGTTTATATAACATTTTAAAAAAATTAATAATAATAAGTATTTATCGCATAAATATTCTGTGCTGTCTGGGTATGAATTACATATCACTTGTCCGATCGACAGGTGATTGAAACATCCGTCACCCACTTGAACATGCTATGTACACTGATATAATATTTGTTCAAAGTAAAAGATTCTAGTTTATCTTTTGCATATTTCCCTTTATAATTTTTCTTAATACTTCTCGCGATAAAATAAAGCAAAATGCAATCGAAAATATTGAAATTTTGTGTTTGTATTTTGTTTACTATTTAGATTAAAAGCGTAGACAAATTTCAATACAAATGGTCTAAAGCACTACTCAATTAAAAAAAATAAATTTTTTTAATGTTATTCTAATATTAAAATGCAATTCTATTTTATTATACTCTAATTTTTTTATAATTTGAAAAATATATTATAAATAAAAAAATATTCTTCATTAAAAAAATATTATAGTAATATTTTTATCTTCATACAACTTGTATAAGCATTACGAAATATGTACACGTACGTAATCCTATTCTCTCATCCACGTGTAATAATACCTTATACGCAAGAAAAAATCGGTTGCGATCCATCCAGACAAGTTACAGAAAATATCTACGCGAGGAACGCAATTCACTCCGTTCATAATTCATAGTTAGACAATGTGCAGTATCACATGAGAAAATCTTGATCCCCTTCACGGAAATGGAGAATTGCGTTTGCAAAGTTTACCCTCCGTATCCTGCTTGATCGTCTCTTTCCTAGAAATGTCAAGCGAAGTAGCGCAGTCGCATTTGACTTTCCTCGCATATACGCTCAGACAATCCGATCAGTCATCATTGAGCTGTCACTCCCTCAACAATGTATGGAACTATCACAGAGAAGATAAATCCGGTCGCGACTGTCTATGATTACAAGAAAGATATGAGGTTGAGCGTTCAGCTGATTCGTTGGATGATGGAGATGATGGGCACGTGGCCAAAATCTACCGTGATCTCATCGATAGAGAGATACGCGTACACGCTATTAAACGTTATTTGTATCGGTTTGATTAGCTTCCTCGTCGTACCCGCCGTCATCTACATAGTGCTTGAAATGGATAATGGATACCTTATCTTGAAACTCTCCGGAGCGTTGAGTTTTTGCGTATTGGCCATCGTGAAGTATTTTTCGCTGATTTTTCATGAAGAAGATATTCGCAATGGTATCAAGCATATTGAGAGTGACTGGATAAATACTCGGTATTACAGTGATCGGATCACGATGATTAGGAGCGCGAAATTTGGCCAACACCTTGTGGCAATTTGTATGTTCTTCATGTACGGCGGTGCTGTTTTCTTCTATCTTGCCCTACCGTTCAGTGCCAGCAAAATTACAGAAGATGAGGGTAATCTGACATATCGGCCACTAGTGTATCCAGTCGCCAGGGTGATTATCGATGTACGACACAGTCCTGTCAGGGAGATTTTTTTTTGGATGCAGTGCCTATCAGGCTTTCTCGCTCACTCTATCACTGCCAGTGGATGCAGCTTAGCTGCCATATTCGCGATGCACGCTTATGGCCGCATGGAGATCCTGATACAGTGGATCGAGCACTTGATAGACGGACGAGAAGATTTATGTGATAATATGAATGAGAGATTAGCGATAATTATAGAGCATCATGTACGAATTTTACGGTGAGTCTTTTTCCCAACTTTGTCAATATTCGTGCATACAATATACCTATACTGCGTTTCAATTTATTTTTAATTATTTAAGAACACTTAAAGAAATCATACTTTCTCTGTAAAATATAGGCTGCGTTCCACTTAACGCTTACAACGCTCGTGGAATCATTTCATCCTTGTCGTTTATCAAATGTTAAACAAGGACGAACGATGCTCGCGAGCGGTGCGAACGTTAAGTGGAACGCAACTATATTATTTACGTGATAACGTATTCGATATCTTTCAGTTTTATTTCATTGACGGACAGAATACTGCGTGAAATATCTATCGTGGAAATTGTACAATGTACAGTAAGCATGTGTCTTCTTGGATATAATATTATCATGGTATGCATATCATACACAAATAGTACGTGCGATGTAAAACATATCCCTATTTCGGAGCAATGTTGGAGATCGTGTGATTTACAGCGATATGTACAATATATCCCCGAATATAAAAATTATTATATTGCAGGAATGGGAGAGCCAAAAGACTACAAGTTATATAACATATACTGTTCTCCTTCTATCTTTTACCTTTAATGTTTTTATATTTTGCTATATCGGCGAACTTATTGCCGAAAAGGTAAAGTCCTTTAACAGTCGAAGCATTCCTTTGCACATCTGTATGATACATTTTTACACAATAGCAAGAGTATTTTTATAATAATATATTATTATAATAATATTTTTATAATAATATATTATAAAAGTATTTTTATAATAATATATTGTTATAATAAAAATATCTAATCGTACTAAAATTTACAAAATTAAAAATTATATTTTAGAAAGTAAGAAACTCTTAGTTATGTGTAAGTATAAATAAGCTGACATTATTTGTCATCATTTGATGTCAAAATGATGACAAATAACGTTAGTTCGTTTGTCGGATATTACGTTTTGTATAGAAAAAAAATTAAAAAAGCAATCCTATAAATAGTACAAGAAGATCGGTGAGGTATCATATATAATCGACTGGTATCGTATGTCTGGAAGAAAAAGCCTCGACATTGTGTTAATGATTGCTATGTCCAATACATCGATCAAATTTACCGCCGGAAATATCTTCGAGTTGTCTTTCACTACTTTTGGAAACGTGAGTAACATAATATCAACATTTATCATATCTATTTATAAGAAAATGATTTGTACATTATTCGTACAATTAACAGGTGGTTAAAACGTCGGTCGCTTACTTTAACATGCTGCGTACATTAAATATATAAAATTCTTGTCCAAAGTGTACATATTAATAAATAACGCAACCAATAAGGTTGCAAATAAATGCCAATTAGTTATCTGATATCAAGAAAAAAATAAAAATGTTTTTAAGAAATAAAAAACGTTATTAATTAAATATTATTAAAATATTTGTTAAATAATATACCTTTTATTTTGTATACTATTCCTTAAAATATTAATATTGGCACTATACGCAACATAAAATCAAGAAAAAATTGCAATCTAAAACAATATTTATATTTTTAATGACGGTGTTCATTTTTCGATAAAAAATTTTTTTTTTGTACATATATACACATTACGTAAGTAAGAAATTTTTAATAATCAAGAAATAATTTTATGAATATTAAAGAGTAAAAAATATATAAAATGTAAACTACATATAATACCTTGCTCCATGCGGATTGTTTTCCTATCATGCATCTAAGTAGAATAGGGTATACAATAACTACAGATTAATCAACGCAACTCGCACCCGTATCGATCGCTACTACCCCTTCACTCCGGAAAATCTGAAACTCTGCCTCTTAAGCTAACTATACTCCTTGAAAAAAAAGTTAGAAAAATGCGCAAGCGCTTAGAATGACTTAATGTTTCCTCCATCGCGATATTATCGCTCAATAGTTCGCCGACATTCGAATCACTATGTCGTATTTCTTCCGTGTGTCCTCTACGCGCAACACTGCGTATCAACAGGACAACGAGTACAGTATACAATTGAATCGCTGGTTCCTAAAACCAATCGGTGCTTGGCCAGGGACCAACACTGATATCGCCGACAAGGTGCTATCGCGTGGTATCCAATTTGTCTGTCATTCTTTGATCGCCTTCACGGTGGTGCCGTGCGCGTTATACATCATATTTGAGCCGGATGTGCATCTAAAGCTAAAGGCTTTTGGACCGATGATACACTGGCTGATGGGTGGCGCGAACTATTGTTCATTACTGATGCGTAGCTACGAGATACGCAAATGCGTAGACCACATGCGTGCCGATTGGCAGTACGTAGGAACAACGCGTGATCGCGAAGTGATGCTGCAAAACGCCAAATTCGGTCGATTTGTGTCCGCCTTTTGCGCGGTCTTCATGCAAGGCGGTGTCTGTTCCTATAGTATCATTACCACTCTAACACCGGCGAACGTTCGAATCGGGAATGTCACTATAACGATGCACCAGCTTCCGTGTCCGTTCTACACGGAGCTGGTGGACACTAGATACAGTCCAGCGAACGAGATTGTGATCGTCCTACAATTGTTGTCAACTGTCATAGTAAACTCCGTTACGGTGGGCGCGTGTAGTCTCGCTGCGGTCTTCGCCATGCATGCCTGTGGCCAGCTGAGCATTCTGATGATGAGATTGGACGAACTTGTCGACGAGACAGAAAGCGAACATAAAGTCACGCGACGAAAGTTAGCTATCATCGTGGAGCAACATCTCCGTGTACTGAGGTAATATTTATACATTGTAGATTTTGAAAATGTATTTAATTTTTTATTTATATTTCCATCAAAATTCAAATGAGTGGAATGAAATTGTGATATTTAAATCGCCGATTAAGCAATTCGTTTAAAAAATATATTTTTTATTTTTATTACTTAACTGGTTTTGTAGTTAGAGCTTTCAAAAATCTTGTTTAAATTTCTGCTGTAAAGAAGTTACACATAACAAAAATGATATTAAAAAATATAATAGTATATTAAATTATTATATTATGTAGTATATATATATATACGTATATATATATATATATATAATATGTTATATTACTAAAACAATAGTTTTAATTTTAGTTTCGTATCGCAGATAGAAGCGATTATGCATCAGATATGTCTCGTCGAATTATTGGGGTGTACCACTGATATATGCATGCTTGGATATTATACGATTACGGTATGCTGGCATCATATCAAATAGTTGTAATAACTGCAAAATAAATCTTTGTGCGTACGCGTGTGCGTTTCATTTATGTTACATTTTTTATTATATTTTTTAACAAATTAAATAATAATGAAATCATTTTATACAGACATTTTTACTTATGTGTGAATGTGTGTGTGTGTGTGTGTGTGTGTGTGTGTGAATTTATTTATAGGATGATTATATGTATTTATAGGAATGGAAATTGCATGAAACTAAAAATTTGCTTACGTACTTTACGATATTCATAGCCATGTCATGCAACATTTTTATATTTTGTTATATTGCTGAAATCCTCACGGACCAGGTAGTTGCATCGTATATATGTATACATATTTATATATAAATTTTTTTTAATATAATAGTCTAAAATAAAATTATGACGTAAAAGCATAGATCAAATTAGAGTTTGTATAGTGTCAAAAAATAGGAGAAATGGCATACATGACAGAGTGGTACCGATTACATCATAAAATTGCGATCGACCTAATTCTAATAATTTCAAGATCAAATGCCGTTATAAAGATAACCGCCGGAAAAATGGTTCAGCTATCTATTGCAACTTTTGGAGATGTAAGTTTATCTAAATACTGTGTTAACAATTTTCTATAAACAATATTTCGATGCCGATTTATCTTTGTAAACTTCCATAAAATTTTTTGAAAAATTTTACTATCATATATGTACTTTTATATATGAACTTTTAACTATTTATGTCTTAATGTTTATTATATTGGATATTTATATTGCTTAATATTAAATTTTATATTGCTTACAATTTTTTAATATTCTAATATATATCCCTAGAAAGATCTGAAAATTATTACATAAAAAATGCGTAAAGATCATTAAGATGGATCTACCAACTATAATTATTTCAGGTCATGAAAACATCGTTTGCGTATTTAAATATACTCAGAACAGTAGCGACATAACAAAATTTAGATGTAAATATGACATAAAAGATCTTCAGATATTCAAATTATAATGAATAATCAATGTAGTGCTATAGCTGATTCTATTGTATTAATAAGTATATCTTTACTTCTCAATAATGTCATTGACATCGCATTTTATGTTTTGTCTTATTAATAACCATATTACATTTTGATGTGTGTAACACACAAGATAAAGCTTTTTACAGCTATAATGTAAGATAAAGTACCAAAGGACGTCACTTTTGCTTAATAAAATTTACATTAAGAATACTACTCGTTAAACAAAAATAACTGCGAATTTGGTTACCTTTGTTGATCAAGCTATCCCATGAATTTTGTTTAGATGTCTTGTACAATTCATGTGATTTCGTGTAACTAGTAGCTATAAGTATCGATTATATTTTTTGTCTCAACCGGATGGCGTCCAAATTTCTCTCTCCTCGCATGTCCGCGCAGGCGCTGCCGTAACCACTACTTCGTTGAGAAACCAAGTAGCAGGATTATAGCCCGTAGTACTATCAATACTTGGCGCGTTGTCTATGAATCGACTATAAAGCGCATTTCTAGCGAGATCATTATGAGCGATTACAGACGAGACAACGATTTACAGTTAAATCGTTGGTTTCTGAAATCGATAGGCGCTTGGCCAGAAATACAAACAAATTCAATGACTATAAGAATGTTTTAATAAATATCTTGCGAGAGAGAGAGAGAGATTAACATGTCATTCATTAATAGCTTTTAGCGCGATATCTGCTATATTATACATATTATTCGAAGAGAAGGATTTCCGTTTGAGACTCAAGGCTATTGGATCTATGAGTCATATTCTCATGGGTGGAATTAATTACTGTTCGCTCCTGCACCATAATAATAATCGGACACGCACGTCTATAGAGCATATGGAGACCGATTGGCGGATGGTGAAGAGAGAATAATCGGGAATTAATACTACGAAACGTGAGAGTGAGACGTATTATAGCGGGCATTTGCGCGCTCATTCTGCAAGGTGGCGTTATTTGTTATAACAAAGCGAAAGGAATGTCACGGATATCCATGAAAATCGGCAATAAGACGATTGAAACAAGTCGCCTACCTTGTTCGTCCTTTAACAAAATCGTAGATACCAGACTCAGCCCGGTATACGAAATCGTGCTTGCATTGCAGTGTCTTTCGACCATCGTGGTAAATAACATCACGATTGATGCCTGCGGTCTCGCCGCGGTTTTCGTGATGCACGCACCCGGCCAACTCAATGTAGTGATGCTACGTCTCGAAGAACTAGTCACCGATCAAGATCTCCTTCAGCTGAGACTGGCGAACATTGTGGAGGATCACCTACGAGCCTTCAGGTAAAAACTAATTTTAAAAGATTATCTATACAAATAAATTTTAATTATCTACGAGAAATGATACGGTTGTATATTTTATAAACTTTGTAACAATAACATAAAATGCTCGATAATTTGACAAAGCAAAACAATAGAAAACGACCAAAATAAGCATAAAAGTTGTTAGGTTACAATAAAAATATATATTTGAGATACAATGTTATCCAATTCTTATACATTAATACGTTTCGACTCAAGAGTCTTCTTCAATTAACATATAAATAGCCTAATAATCTAACCGCAATTAAAAAACTGAACTAATATCATAATAGTATCATAATCAGCTAAAGTTACCCCACCATGTTAAGAGTATCATGATGTTTTATACGATATAATTAAATCTTCGTTCAAGGGCGAGAATTCCGTTAAGTCCAAAGAGAGAAGTCAAATGGTAAAAAAATATTCTGAGAACGAAATTCATTAAAATTATGTAAGAATTGTGACAGAAAAGAAATTAAATATAACAAGTAGTCAAATTACCTTGTATTCATGGTGCGAATTGATAAACTTTGGCTGACCTTTAAAACTAATTTCTCGTAAAACGTAATTTTTGTCCGAAAATAGTGCCAAAAAACTATAATATGTGGAAAAATTACCTTATATCTTTTTTCTAAATATGACATATTTGCAGAATTGCAACTGTCGCGGCCGTAAGATATTTGGATAAAAAAATTGAGTGTCTTTAACGTCGCGGCTGTTGCTGGATGTGTCGATTGCAGGTTTCTTTCACATTTGGAG